AACTTTGGGTGAAGATAGTAGAAAGTATTCATGGGGTTGTAGCAAATGGATGGGGCTCTGGGATTCTAGCAAGGAGTACAAGAGCATCTCCTTGGAAAGCTATTCAAGCTATTCTACCATTGTTCTCTCCATAGATCAGGTATGACTTGCACTCAGGCAATCTCGTTAATTTTTGGGAACATGTTTGGATTGGGGACTCCTCCCTAAAAGACCAATTCCCAAGCCTTTTTGCCCTTTCCACTTTTAAAAATGAACCGGTGTCTTCATTCATTGTTCCTTCTAATTCTATTTCTGGGATTGGCTGGAATTTGGGCCTGCGAAGAGATATCAGGGACATAGAGCTTGATGGTATCCCATCACTGTTATCCATTCTTGAAGGGGTGTTCCTAGAGCCAACAAAGGCGGATAGTAGAATTTGGACTCTCACCCCCTCTGGTTCTTTCACTTGTGCCTCTTTCTTTAGCGCTCTCACACATTCTTCTTCTACGGGCTTGTCTTTCCCTGTTAAAGAGGTGTGGTGTCATCCTATACCTCCTAAGGTTGGGAGATTTTGTTGGGAAGCCTTTTTGGAAAGAGTTAACACAACAGATTTACTTCAAAGGAAAAGACCCAATAATTGTTTTTGTCCTCACTGGTGTGTCCTCTGTAAAGCTGATGGTGAGTCTAGATATCACTTACTAATCTCCTGTCGGTTCACTAACGTCATTTGGGAGTGATGTACTTCTTTGTTTGGGTGCAGGTGGACCCCCCTCCCCTTTGAATGTGCAAAGCCTATTCACATGTATGCCATTTCGGCCAACAAAATGGGCCAAGTTTATGTGGAGGTGTATGAGGGCTGCAGTCTGTTGGACTATTTGGGAGGAAAGAAATTCGCGAATATTTACAGATAAGGAGAGAAGTTTGGAAGCAATGCTGGAGGTCATCCACATTAGGGTAATACACTGGCTGAAAACCTTGGCTCTGTTCGCAGAATTCTCAGTTGATGAACTGCAAAGAAAGTGGAAGGTGATAGCAGAATTTGTTCCAATGAGGAAGGCCTCAAATGTTTGTTGGATCCCCCCTCCCCATGACTTTGTTAAACTGAACTTTGATGGCAGCAGCTTGGGCAATCCAGGGCCATCCGGAATAGGAGGAGTAATAAGAGATGAACAAGGGAAGCTGTTAGCTATGTATTCTGGACCAGTTGGGGTGGGAGATTCTTTGAGAGCTAAGATTCTTGCAGCTCTTGAAGGGGTACAAAGAATC